TAAGATTTCTGCCAGCATTTTAGGTTAAAATCTGTCTGTTTGAGCCTCGTATTAAACCCCTATTTATAGGGAATGGATACAATTAGGGTTTTCAGCCATCTGCCGCAGCAGGTGTCGAGCGCATATGAATGGGTTGCGCGCGACAGACCAGCGCAAGTGATTTAGTTGTGTCGCTATAGGCAGTGCAACAGATTGTCTTGCGCGTGGTATTAGGGTAAGATTCGATTTTCATATTTTAAAAAAATCATAGTCTTCCGCAAGCTCATCACCAAAAGTTGCGCTGGGTGTTGCGCGCAACTTTGTGAGTTGCGCACGCCAGACCAGTGCGACTCATTGAGATGCGCGCGGATTTATCTGCGGCAGCATTAATTTTAACCTAGGCGCCTCTAAATCTGTCATTTTAGGTTTAAGCTCGGGCTTAAGCCTAATTATGATCGGGTTTAGTTGATTGGACCTTATTAATGCTTTTGTTTTTGGGTTAGGCTAGCTTATTTTTATGTTCTTGCAATTCAACCAGTTATTCATAAGTGTTCTTCACGTTAATCCAGCACGAAGAATGTTTTATTTATCGTCATTACACTTCCTGTTGGGACAGGAGGCCAAAATTAGATGTTTACATCTATATACTCCATTAAAGAAGCTATTACTTTTTATGCTAAATTTCGTCAAGTGGGATTGAATAACAAGATCTAGGTTACAAATCAACTAAATAAAATCTAAAAAGAAAACAATACGAAAATAAAAGGATGACACGAGGAATTGGTGACGGGAAAACTCAAAGAAGGTAAAGACTGGGGGTAGAATGAGGATCTACCAAACTTTCACTATGAAAATATTAATCAAGAGGGTTACAATGTAGCTCGATGTATTTTTTGTAGCTAGGTTTCAATGTGTCCTTCTTCAGTGGATCTTGTTTATTTTATAGATGATGATTAGGGCAATGTGTAGCCATTGTGAAGTGATAAGCTACCTCCCCCAATATTCGGAGCTATCTTTTCAAATGCTCGCCCTCAACTCAGCCCACTAATGGCTGTATTTGGCTGGCAAAAGACTATGTCCTCCATGCTTATCGTGTCCTAGAAAATAGGTGTAAACACCCAAATGTGTCTCCCCAAAACCAAACCCAGTGATGAATACCTTTCACGTCATTTGATTATCATACGAGGGGAAAGTGTGAAAAGTCTAATGATGAGGATGTTTTTATTAAAATATTTCTCTTTCTGTTTTCAAAAAAATATATTTATTTTCTTACTCTATTTATTAAAAATAGTCAGTCCCATTTGGTTTGGTCCATGATAAGGGTCCAATAATAGTGTAGTTGGATCGGGTTTGAAAAGAGCTTTCTAACGATATATTATAAGCCCAATTCCGATGAATAATGAGGAAGTTATAGATTTAATTAAATTAGGATCAATGATTTTAAATGTGGCCCAATGATCTAGAGGAGTGTCTATTAATTATTATTCCTAAAGTGATTAGGATTGATTTTAATCTTCTAGGAATATCTAGAAGGTTCTTTTTAATTCTAAAGAGATTAGAATTGAAAATTATATTTTTAAAGATGTTTTAATTTGAATAAAATATATTATTTATTACACATCTTATTTTAAATCTGCTTAGACACGGAAATACCTGTTAGCCCGTTTAAAAGATGATTCCGCGTACGAAAGCACGTTGTACTTGTGAATCAGCGTAAGACGACAGAGTCGTCGCTTGGCGCTGACAGCTGCAACTGTCACCTGGTGACGAGCTTGTCGTCTAGTGCTGACTCCTGTCGTTGTATTTTATTCCAAATATGATTTTCTTTGATCCCGTGCTATTTTTATAATAAATAGGGGTCGTTTCATTCAGAATCACCATTCACAACCATCATCTCTTTTTATTCTCTCTCTAAAAGCTAGAAGTTTTCCTTCTCTCTCTATTCTTTTTCTAAACCTTCCCTCTCACAAAATTCCTCATACAATAATTCTAGACACACCTAGCCAAGTTCGAAGTTGTCTTCACGTTAGACGTGAAAGGTTGATAATTTCTGAGGGTTTGGTCCAAATCTCTATTTCAATTATTTAATTTAATTGTTTATTATTTTTCCTTAAAGTTACTAATGTGTGTATTTTGTTATTAGAAAGAGGTACGAGGCATCGAAATAAGTAAATTAATTATTTGATTGATCTTTTGATATGGAAATCATGCTTAGATTGTTTTATTGATTCCTAGTATCATGTTAGGATGTTATATTGCTTCATGGTATCATGTTTAGGGTAATAACTAAAATTTTCTAATACCAAGTATGTTTATTATGATGCTTCCTATTTCATTCTAATATCATGTTAGTATCATGTTAGGGCTAATTAATCTTTAATGTTTAGTGACATGCTAGGATTTGTTATTAATCTTGTTAGTATCATGCCTAGGATCTTGCTAATAGTATTATGCTTTAACATGATTATTTTAATTATGATTATTATTGTTATTTTAATTATGATTATTATTTTGAGAATATTATTGTTTTGATTATGACGATTGTTATTTTATTGCTTGATATTTATTATTGTTATTGTTTGATCACGCCTTTTATGCATGTTTAAAGGGAATTTGTACTTGTAATCACGCTTAATAAGATAATTAATAATCTTGTTTGGGTTAATATGATTATAATTCAAGTGATCGCCAATAATAGTTTTGTTTGTGTAGTAATATTCAACCAACGTAGATTAAACAGGTTTAGGATTAATCTATTGATTACATGTTAATCAGAAAGCGCACATGAATATGAGAAGAATAAAGTAGAAGCCTATTTAGGGCATGTTCAATCTTTTTTAGGTTGGATTTGTACCTTCATCCCCGAACTTTCAGTCATGGTTCCAGACCTATTGGAGTTAACGATGTCCTGGATTGTTAAGAGGTGTAACCTTCACCCTATGAACAGTTTACAAGTTCCTAAAACTTGTTGGCAGCTCTTTTACTCTAGCTTCCTTCCCTTTAGACGCCACCATGCTTAAGTGTATGATAACAGTGGGGTTCAAGTGTGAGATGCTTGAAATATTCCCTACAATAGAGAAGCAGTTTCTTTGTATTTCGTGCATCGAAGCTGGCTTCTGTTCGTCAAGGCTTGCTCTTCGTCGTTGACAGTAGCAAGACTTTCGTTGAATTGACTCATCAAAATTTACCCATAACAATTACAAATTAATGAAAGTCTACATATACGTGTGAACGTGTAAGCAGTAAGCCCACGTTGCCTCTCTAAGCCTTGATCCATGAAATACATAAAATAAAAGCTTGTTTTTGAAGAGACTCCAATTCTTAGCCCAATGTGTCAAAAAGATCACAACTGATTCATAACTCGGAACTTGATCATAGATTGTGTCAAGATAAATCCTTCCACTTTCAGTAGTTCTTGAAGCTCCTTCATCCTCATCCGATGTGATTCAAGCTTTTGAAAAATGAGCGAATAGTTTGTAAAGGGCAATTTTTTTAGAGTAAATTGAGCATCATATATGATACCATTTTCAAAATTTGCACATCTATTTTATTTTTATACTTCACATTATACTTCGCATTAAACTTTAACTAAAGCAAAAAAAAGGGATACACATCTATTTTATTTTATAATTCACATTTGATTTCCTTATTCCAATTATTATATTCTGCAAAAAAAAAAAAAAAAAAAAAAAAAAAAAAAAAAAAAAAAACTAAGTGATGGGTCAAGTATAACAGTATATTGAACTTTGTATATATTTACGAACTTAAGCTAGTGGCGAGTCTTGGCCTAAAATTTAGAGGGGTTGAGATTTAAATATTTACCCTCTTGCTCAAAATTAATTAATATGTCCCAATATTTTATAAGTAAATATAGGTTATTTAAGTTTATTAACTAACTAGGTGAAACCCCGTGTAAATGCACGGATGTTAAATAATTTTAATAAAAATTATAATATATTGAGTAATAATTATATAAAAAATAGTGAATCAATTGACCAGGTATTAAAATACATTAAGGTTTATTCTCATTTACTGAACTGAGTTGAACAGAACTGAAGTAAACTAATTGGAGCTGAAATGAACTGATTGGAGCTGAACTGAACTGAACTGAAATGAAATGAGTTGAAATGAACTAAACTGAGCTGAAATGAATCTTTTATGAGAGAAGGAAATTAGGAGATGAATTGAACATATTGGAGATGAACTAAACTGAACTGAAATAAGCTGAAGTGAACAGGTACTAAATATAATTCGTATTAAAACTCTCCAAACATGTGATAAAAAATATTTAAATATGTAATAGTTATAAAGTGCAAGTTGATATTTTAGGAAGTTTACTTTACATCTTATATAATTATATAAAATAAAAGTCATAATTAATCTAGATGTAAGCCTTATATTTATACAATAATGTCTTTTTAGAAAGTAATTTGGCATGAATTTTTTAATAATATATTGTCAAGTGTCCCCTTAGATTAACTTTTAATAGTATGTGATTGATTAATTACGATAACTTACAGGAGGTCGCGCTCCAAATGACCCCGGTGACAGGTCCTCCTCTTTAACATCACACTTATAAGAAAATAAAAAGTTTAAAACGCAGATTATTCAGATTATCAAACTTGTGAATCTTTGAGGTGTTTAATTTAAATTACATCATTACATAATGTCATATGAAGGCTAATTAGCAAAAATAACATACCAAGTGCTTACAATTATGAATCTTTGAGGTATTTTATTTTTATATTTCACATTATAATTCACAAAAATCCACAATCCAATCATTCACTCTCCAAAAAAACACATCTACATATCCGAGACTTTCTCTCTATAGAAGAGTAGCCATCGGGGATCAACTCTGTCACTCTGATGATCAGAGCTGCGGGAGCTTCCTTAGAGTGCGAATCATATGCAAATTCTTTATGAATTTGCATTTTAGCTAAAGCTCTATCGATTTGTCATTTAGTTCTCTAGGCAAGTCTATTCTATCCGTCTTTAGTTTCATGGGTTCATCATTAGAAATGGAGGTGGCATCCACTGAGGAGTTAAATGTAAGAGATCGTTCAATAGTCAAGTTGGGTCAACTTGAAGCTGGAGGCCAAGGTGAATTGGCAGAGAGGTATAATGTGTTGGAAGGTGAGAATGGAAGCAAGGAAATGGAGGTGGACCTGCCTGCTCCTTCTCTAATTAACAAGAATAAGGATGTTAGCACGGCCAATGTTAAGCAACATGAAAAGCCACCTAAACAGACTAGGATGGTTAACTCCTTTAATTTAGGGAAGCAGTGGTCAAGTCTTCTCAATGGTTCAAGGAGGCCAGGAAGATAGTGATCAGTTCGTTAGATTGGGAAGAGGATGAGGGATTGGAAAATGCAGTTCAATTCTCACCGGAAAAAATTAGGGATCTTCATAAGCCTTGGGAGCTAACTCTAATTGGAAAATGTCTTGGTATCAAAGTGAGAACCGAGTTCATTGCGCAAAGAGTTCAGAGAATGTGGAACCCAAAGGAGGACTTGGAAACCATAGAAATTGAAAAAGGAGCATATCTTTTCAGATTTAGCTTACAAGATGATCTTGAGAAAGCTCTTTTTGGTGGTCCTTGGTTCGTGTTGGATCACTGCTTAATGTTAGCTAAATGGAGGCCAACTTTCAGACCTTCTACAAAAAGCTTCATCAATATGGCGGTCAGGAATAGGTTTTCGAAACTCCCAGTGGAGTATTATGAGAAGGAAGCGTTGTATAAGATAGCAGAAGTAGTGGGAAAGCCAGTTCGCGTTGACTACTCAACTGATAATATTAGCAAGTGTAGGTATGCTCGGGTTTGCATTGAGATCGAACTAAACAACCCTCTTATCACCAAGGCCTGGGTGGGGAAAGCATGGCAGAGGGTTGAGTATGAAAAAAATTCATATGCTCTGTTTTACCTGTGGTCGAGTAGGACATGTCAAGGAACTCTGTACCGAAAGGAAGGATACGGGAGAATCAGGTATAGAAAGCAGTAAAAAAAAAAAAGGGCATACCCATTTCTACCCTTAGACTTGAAGCAGAAGGAACAGCTACGGGGGCAGAGGAGGGAGCTAGCAAAAATATCAAAGACACCGAGGCTGGGTTGCATCCTAATCATAGTAACAACTAACAACAAGCATCAAAATAAGGTGGTAAATGACAAAGAGGAATACGGGCCTTGGATTTTGGCGGCTTCTAGAAGAAAGTTCAATAGAAAGGAGGAAAAAGGAAAAGCGGGAAGAGGAGAATAAAACCAAACAACAAGCATCAAAACAAGGAGGTAAACGACAAAGAGGAATACGGGCCTTGGATTTTGGCGGCTTCTAGAAGAAAGTTCAATAGAAAGGAGGAAAAAGGAAAAGCGGAAAAGGAAAAGAAACCCAAAAAAATATTAAAGAAAGCAAAGGAAGGAAGCATGGGGAACAACCCAGCCACCAACATACTCCTAGAAGCAATCAATGGACTGTCCTACTAATGGAAGAAAAAGAGGAGGAATCCATGGGAAAAAACAAGTCTGTTAGGAAGCAATATATGAACATTGATACTTTGCATCACAAGTCAACAGGGAAGGAAATCACATTGGGAAGTGGCAAAAATAAATTGGAATAATTTTTGAGGTTTAGCTCACCTACCAGCTTAAAGCAAAAACATTCGCATGCGTATCCCCGACAAAAACATTCCCAGAAAATAAATAACAGCCCTATTCCTACCCTAGCACCTACTCCTATCCAAAACGAAAATGGATCCTTCTCTGGGGAATCATCTCAACCGATTAGCAATTCGAAACCATACCCTCCAAATAACACCAAACAGCCTACACCTCCGCCGAGCTAAACCATATCTCCTCCCTCTCAGAATTTAGAACCAACCCCGACACCAATTCCCTTATCTAATAATACCAAACTCGTTGCCGAACTCCCACCCATTAAACCACCACCTATCTCATTTCCAAGCCTCATCTCATTACCAGGACTTACAACCATGACCAATTCCACCCCGGACCCCAACTTTGCACTTTTTTCCTACCCTCCCATCACCAACCCTTTGGCGGATCCTAGAGGTACGCCCTTTTCAAACGGAGAAAATCAACATCATAGAGGAGGGTCTAAGGTTGATATTGGCTCATCATATTCCCAGACCAATTTGAACTACGGGACTGCCTTCCTCCCCCTCGAACCACCTCCAAAAAACCCTACAACTCACAACTTGTAATTCGTAAACATTCTCTCAAATCTCATGGATCCTTCAAACCTTATGATCGCCTTAATCCCTCAGAAGGAGGTAGTGGGATTGGCTTTGGATCTCAGCTACGTACCAACAGGAAATCTAGTCCCGAAGATCAACATGAGGGCGTCCCCATTATCAATCACTAGTAGAAAAAATGCTATTTGTAACGTCCTATTAGTAACTAGCGTATGTTATGCTAGTTACGAAAGCATCAGTAGTAACCGACAAAGGTAGTGTCAGTTACTAATATGTGGTTTATCATTGCTTGAAGTTTTATTAGTAACTGACTAAATAAATGTCAGTTATAAATATTTAGTCAAATTAACTTTGACTTAAAAATTTATAACTAGCTTACAAACGTCAGTTACAAATATTAAGTCAAAGAAACTTTGACCAAAGCATTTGTAACTAGCTTACAAACGTCAGTTACAAATATTAAGTCAAATAAACTTTGACCAAAGTGTTTGTAACTAGCTTACAAACGTCAGTTACAAATATTAAGTTAAAGAAACTTTGACCAAAAAGTTTGTAACTAGCTTACAAAACGTCAGTTACAAATATTAAGTTATTACTTCCTATTAATTTTATTTAATTTTCATTTAATTTTTATTGAAGTTAGAGGAAATTATTTTTTTATTTTTTTTTTCAAAGAAGGAAACAATTTCTCGTTGAAATACAAACAAAAGAGTCAATTTTTTTATTTTTTGTTGTTCACTTTCGCTCCATCTTCTCGCGCTTAGCTTTCCTGTCAAAAACTCCTCCTTCCTCCTACAGTTTCTTCTTTGCTCCAACTCACTCCATTTAGTTTGGAATTTTTGAATTTGGGTTCAGCTTTAGTGATTCTATATTAAGGTTTTAAGGTATGTAATTTTTTGAATTAAGGTTCTTGTAATTTTCCCTTTCTTAAATTCAATAACACTACTACAAATACTGCCTATTAAAGCACTTAGCTAGCCACGCAATATAAAAATATTGCTGAAAAATCACATTTATTGTTAAATTGAGGCGCAAAATAAATAGTACCGCAATATAGCGCTGCTGAAGCTAAATAAACGCACCACTTAAAATTTTCATCAAGTGAATTGTTTCAAAGAGAAAATCCCACTATTCCCAATATCCCACTACTGCAGTCTTCCTCAATCCCTAACCTCTCGCTTTTGAGCAAATTTTCCCAATTTATGCGCTCAATTCATCAATCTTCAATTCAATTTGTGAGTTTTAATCCATCCAAATGTCAATCGCAACTCGTACTAAAGAACCCTAATCATTAAAATCGTTACTCTTTTCGCTGGATCTTTGTTCTTAATTGCTTCATTCTGCAGTTCAATTCGTGAGTTTCAATCAATCTTGTCAGCCCATACGATTTGCTGGAATATTCATCTGGTAATTTTTTTTTCACGATTATCTTCGTTTTTGTTAGATTTAACCTTTTAATTTGCCCTACAACTCTGAGTCGATTATATTTGCCAATCGAATTTTTCAACCTTATATATTGAATTTCGCTATAATTATTGAAATAATTAGAACCTTTTTCCAGAATGTTTTGGTTATGCTCTTATGTAACAACTTGTTTTGTTTATTTTCGTTCCATTTCATGCAGTTAAAAAGCTTTTAGTCGTTTTTTTTGGATTTTTTTTGTTGTATTTAACCTATTCATTGCTTGCTGCATTGTTGTAAGCATCATTTGAAGAACTTCATGTGAAAAAAAAAGAGATTGCAAAAAAAGAGGTTTAATTTGGTATGTTTACTGCATCTTTATGATAAGATCTTTAATTGAAGGATAGCTTTTAGAATTTATTATGTGTTTTGAGTGTTTAATTCATTAGTACATCCCCTGCATACTGATTCGGATCTTCATCAGATTATCAAGTCCTCTCAGGCTCTGTCGAATGATCATTGTCAGTACTTCTTGTTTCAGGTATATTTTATGGTGTCACTTCTTGTTCATTATAGCATTCAATGATTGTTTTATGTTTATGTTTATATGTGATGAATTATTTAATTATTTTCACTGTGGTGCATCTTCTAGCATGTTTTCCTGAACTCTTAGGTTCATCTCTACCTTCTGTTTTATAAAGATGCTCGAGTTTAAAAGTTTTATTGCTTATTTTTACTTCTAGATTTGGATTTCTTATATCCTGTTACGTACTTTGTATTATGTTTTGTTCTGTGTTCCAATCGATCCTCTTTATAAGCCTTCTTTATAACACCACTAAGAAAATAAGGAGGGGGTGGATAGGTTAGATCAATAGATGGTGGTGGTAAACTAAAGAGTTTTATGTCATAGAATTTGACAATTGCTCAAGACTTAATTCACTTATTATTACTGGCTAGAGAAACAGTTTTGCCAATTATAATTAGCTATAATTATAATGATGGTATGGCATAAGATGGGTGATAGAGTTTAAGAATTTACTTATATTGATGTGCCTAATCGATATGATATGAAATAGAATACAATACTTTCAGTTCATAACATAATAATATTGATATAATATCTTATTAGGCATATGTCACTGTCTTTGAACTTTTATGAATGAAGGTTCTTTTTCACTCGTTCAATTTAATAATGGAGCAGCTTACTTGAGTTATGAAAGAGGTCCATTATAAATTTTGTATCTCCTACACTAGTGATTGAATGAGTAGGAAATCAGAATCTCTGAAATATCATGATAAGTTATAACTTACCTATAGTAATTTTAGTCTTTATATCCGAAATAATATTGAAAGCATAGTTAACAAATTTTTATTTGTTATGAGTGCACTACAATTGTTCTCATATTTTAACTTTGATATTATACTTTTCAAACTTATGCTAGAAGTCTATCAATTTGAGTCATTATTGCCTTTTCATTTCATCTAGATTTCCACCCCAATCCAGCAATTGCTTTATTTCCAATGCCTTGTAAAGGTTCTTTCAGCCAATCACTAGTGGGAATTAATGTTGAGTTTTTCCAAGTCCTATGCACAAGAGCACAAAATTACTCAATATGCAATAAAGAATTACTAGCACAAATGGCATCCGTAGTATGCCAAAAGAAATGGCAAAGTAGTATTGACTATGAACGAATTCATTTATGTAGACTTATCTAAAGTTGGAAACTAATTAACTAAAACAAGAACCAAAATGAATTGTCCTTATTATCCAGAACACGGATGTACCTCTTTCCAACCCATGTTTTTTAGAATTATTTGGCATACCTACCAGCTCCAAGGGCTATTTCCAAGGCTTCGGCTACATCTTCCTCAGTTGAAGGTGGACTAGCATCATCAGCTGACCTTCTCTGCCCCAAAAGTGCCATGCAGTGCTCTTCTTTCAGCAGCTCTATATATGTCACTTTGGCTTCTTGTTTTCTTACTTCTGTGTTAATTTATATATATATGTTAGCTGAGACATGGCTTTATCATACTTTTAGGCAGGTCTGCTCGATTTCCTGTGAATCTTGTTAATAGATTCCCAAACCACCCAGGGATTGGAACATTGTTTTATAGAGTTGCTGTGACTTAACATAGCTTGTGCAGTTATTAATAGCTTATATTTTTGACATGGTTTAAGCTCTGTATGTATTTTGATGGTTGCCTATTTTGCAATGCCCTTTATAATTTTGAATTCCTTTGGATTCTTAATTGTTGCAGGTCGTGTAATAATACTTATTACACCATTAGTAGACTAGTGTGGAGTTTTAATATCGACTGTTGGAGAATATACTAATACCTACAGTGCATTGTTTAGGGAGTTCATATATATAGTCTTGCATTTGAAAATAAATATCTCCTGCTTTTGTGAATTTCCAATTAGTATACATTTTTGCAGTTATCTCAATATTCTTGTCTTTCTCCCACTCAACTTAGAAATATGCAGATTTGCTACAATATATCAAGTATCATAATCTGCATTCCACCCTACAGCAACATCCTTATACTCTTACTCTGTACAAATTTAAGTGCTTTTCCTTAAGATTTACATACACACCCTTGCAAAACTTCTCTTCTGTCTACTTTTTGCAACTTCCAATCCTTTTTATCTCTTAAGCTAGTTTAGTATTAAGTTCAAATACTTAATTTTTGGAGAAAGGTCTGGACTTTGGAGTGCTTATTTATGGTCATACTTTCATGTGAAAATTCTTCTCGTGTTTTTGTGATGTCCTTTAGCCCATCAATGTGTCATACTATTTCCAGAGGCCGTCGCAGCCATAAATTTCTGAAGCACAGTGGTGGGGGAATCTTCTTTACATCACTGAATAATTTAGTAACATGTTGACCTCATTGTCTTCTTTTCAGGCCAGAGTACTATGGAAAAGCCGTCTAGTTGAATTGGAATAGTCCCCAGGTAAATTTTCTTCTTATTTTGGTTTATATTCAATGAAGAAAAGTATTGTTTTTCTGCTTCGCTCTGGTGGCCAGGTTTTGATCTTAAAAGTTTTCAGATTGGGAGCAAATATATTTGCGAGTAATAGGCCGGGTATGTAATTTGCAAGAGGTTAGTGATAAATTTTCCTCTTCTTTGCAAGTTAATAAAATTCTGTATACATGTATCTTGACCGATGTTTTATATTTAAAAACTATAATTAACATGTTTTTTTATATATTTGTAGGAGTATTTGGCAAGACTTGCATGCAGCCTACAACGATGTAGAATTAGATGAGATTCGAGAACAATAGGCTAAGTTTTTTAGACTTAATTTTTTTGTTGAAAGACTAGTTATTTTATTGATCAATGTTATGATCAATCGCATTTATCTATATAAAACAATTAACACATTTCTATATATATACTTTTATTTGGCCTACTGGTTATTGTTATTACATTCCTAAATTGTAAATCAATAATTTTTTTTTATTCAAGTTTTAATTGTTTTGTGGAAACTATAGTTTATTTTGTTGTATTGTTGTGGATGAATTCAATTTATGTGGAATTATTTGGAGTGTTTGGTTTGTTGTTGAATTGTAACAGGTTGTAACAGGTTTTAACCCTTTTTACAATGGGTCGTTCAGTAGGATATACTACCAAGCTTGTTGTATTTGAATTAGATATTTATATAAAAAAATTAAATATATATTTATTAGTAACTAGCGTAACACCGTAAGCTAGTGCTAGTTAGGAATAATTTTTTTAAAAGAAAAAAATTATTAGTAACTGGCGTTTGGCTATGCTAGTTACAAATAATATCGTAATTGTAACCGACGTATCTTAACGCCAGTTACGAATAGTGTGGGGAATAAATTTCAAGCTTAAACCCCATGCTTGAACTCCACTGTAATCATACACTAAAGTACGGTGACGTCCAAAAGGGAAGAAGATAGAGTAAAAGAGTCGCCAACAAGTTTTAGGAACTTGTAAACCGTTCACATGGTGAAATTTACACCCCTTAACGATCCAAGAGATCGTCAACTCCATAAGGTCTAGAACCAAATAAGGGTTCGGGGATGAAGGTACAAATCCAACCTAAAAGAGATTGAACCTGCCCTAATAATAGGCCTCTACTTTATTCTGATCGTATTCATGTGCGCTTTTTAATTAACATGCAATCAATAGGATTAACCCTAAACCTGTTTATCTATGTTGGTTGAATATTAATGCACAAGTAAACTATTATTGGCGATCACTTGAAATTATAATCACATTAACCCTAAACAAGATTATTAATTATCTTATTAAGCGTGATTACAAGTACAAATTCCCTTTAAACATGCATAAAAGGTGTGATCAAGCAATAACAATAAAAATCAAGCAACATAATAAATTAATCATAATAATTATAAAAGTCATAATAATTATCATAAATAAAATAATCATCATCAAAATAACAATAATAATAATATTCATAACCATCATAAATCATAACAATTATAATCATAATCATGTTCATGTTAATATTAAAGCATAATAATAATAGCAAGATCCTTGGCATGATAATAACAAGATTAATAACAAATCCTAGCATGTCACTAAGAAATAAAAATCAAAGCTTTAACCCTAACATGATACTAATAATTATAAGTATTAGGAAGAATATAGGAAGCATCATAGGAATCATAATAAGCATATTTGATATTATAACCTTTTCCCTAAACATGATACTAGGAATATCATAATAACAATGTAAACATGATGTCTACATCATAATATCAATGAAATCAACTAAAGAACTTACTTTGATGCCTCGTACCTCTTTCAAATAACAAAATACACACGTTAGTAACTTCAAGAAAAACAATAATCAAAACAATTAAATTAAATAATTGAAATAGAGATTTTGGACCAAACCCTTAGAAATTAAACCTTTCACGTCTAGGGCGAAGGCAACTTCGAATATGGCTAGGTGTTTCTAGATATTGTGAATGCGGAATTTTGTATGTAAAAGCAAAGTTTAGAAAAAGAGAGAGAGAAATGAGATAATCAAGAAAACTTGATGAGAATTGGTGAATGGTTAATAGAGAATTAGAGAATTAATGATTGCGAATGAAAATTGATTGTCGATGAGAATTCGTGAGAATTGGTTGTTGAAAACGGAGTTTTTAATATGTTATTTATATAGAAATTAGTCAAAAAGATAAAATATCAAAACAGAGCACTTGGCGCACGCAAAACAGAGCTGGCGCCAGGCGCCAATAGCTAGCACCAGGCGCCAATGGCTGGCACCAGGCGCCAGGCCTAATTTCAGGCGCCAATGCCTGGAGTCAGGTGCCGGGCCTGTTTTTGACGCGTTTTCGAAAATCAGATAAGTTTGCCGTACTGGAGGATAAAATCGTATCTTTTCCTCGAAAATGATATTTGATTTTAATTAAAACTCTGAAAAGTCAATTTATCAATGCTAATTGAATTAGGAATGAAAAGAACCTTCTAGAAGAATCTAGAAGCCTAAAACCATTCCTAATTGCATTAGGAATGATAAATCATTTTAGGCCCTCCTCAAGATCATTGGGCCGTATATAAGGCTCAAATCGGGCCCAACTTAGTAAATTGGCCATAACTTCCTCAATATTCATCGGAATTGGGCTTATAATATATTGTTGAAAAGCTCTTGTTAAGCCCCATCCGATTACACTATTATTGGACCCACATAATGGACTAACCAAACTGGATTGGCTGGTTTTTTCTTAAAATAAGTTTTCAAAAACAGAGAGAAGAGAAAAGAAATTAAAACTGTCCACAATACTAGACCTTCTGCACTTTCGCTTCATTCGATTATGATTCGACGTGAAAGGTACTCATCATCGGGTTTTGTTTAGGGGAGACACAAATGGGTGTCTATAGAAGCCCCCACTTTGACTGAGTTTGGAGAAACGCAAGTTCCGTAAACAAAAGTCAAAGTATCGATAGGGACGGAGAATGATTCAAAAAGTTCTGCGATCCTAAATCATTCTTGAAACGCCGATACCTACAAAACTAGCGTTAGTTAAACAGATAAAAGAGTTAAGAAACGTGTATCTTGCACCGTCGAGCACACGTCTCTGAAAGTAACCGATTTATCTTGATGACCTCCTACAAGCTAGAGAATGCCACCCCGCTTGAAAACCGCTGCGCCTGTTACTTCTTCCAAATTAGAAGATTTCTTTGCCTGAAACGATCCTCCTCCGCTTTGATAATATTCCACATCCAAGGGAATACTATCGAAGATTGCTTCTCTTGAAACAATCCTCCGTTGTTTGTGACAACTCTCCACAATCTAAGGAACGCTACCTTGTTGTTTCGATGTTCACCCGTCTCTGAACAAAGAGCTTCTTTTTTGGGTATGTTCACGCGCCTGTGAATAATAGAGCTTCTTTTCTTTTTTCTGGATATGCCTACGCGTCTCTGAACAATAGAGCTTCTTTTTTTAATATGAACTTCTAAATGATGTGTCCACGCGTCTCTGAACGAAGAGCTTGATAATAGGATGCCCACGCGTCTCTAAGCAAAAGAGCTTGAAAATAGGAGATCTTTGATGATATGTCCACGCGTCTCTGAACAAAAGAGCTTTTTGAATGATATGCCCACGCGTCTCTGGAGCAATAGAGCTTGAAAAGGATTGTCCACGCGTCTCTGAACAAAAGAGCTTGGTTGATGGAAATGTTCACGCGTCTCTGAACAATAGAGCTTTGATAGAAATGTCCACGCGTCTCTAAACAAAAGAGCTTTGACGATATGTCCTCGTGTCTCTGGACAATAGAGCTTTGATGGAGATGTTCACGCGTCTCTGAACAATAGAGCTTCGGTACTTGAATGTTTGTTGCGATAATATGCTGAAGAAAAATTTCCGAAGACCAACGTTTGTCGATCTCTAAAGCTCGCCTGAACTTTGCTTCCGCTAAAACAGTATGTCGGTGTTTCCGTGATGAGCCAATTCTTAGGCGCTTTAAGCTAAGTGAGACGATCTTTCATCAGGTCGACCACTTATTGTGATTGTAATCAAACTGACTACTTAATCATGTCAAATTTCTTATAAGGGCTACTTGCGTACCAAGGAACCCGAAATTTCTGTATGAGGTCGAAATCACCTTTCTGAGAGGCTTCGATCTCTGTCGCTGCTGGAATATCTCTGGCGTCAAGAATTGGAGTAGGGTCTTCCCTATTCTGCTGCACCTGTATTTATTTTTTACTATAGAACTTTGCTAATTTCTTTAACCATCTTAGGGTTGACCTAAGGTTTAGCATTGCTTGACTTATCGACTTGACACGACTCAAGGTATAAACTTGACTCGATATGATTGACTGACTCGAGGTTGAATCAACTCAAAGTGAAATGACACATGTGTTAGACTCAAATCAAATTGATATGACACGGCATGGACTCGATGTGTACATGACTCGTGTGTGCATTGTAATGTGATCGTGCGACTCGAAAATGCAAAAAAACAAAAATTTTCCGTCATTATTGTGGAGTGTACCGACTTTCTCCCGAAAAAGAAAGGCGCGAAAAGAAAGAAACGAAGTTTTTGAAGGTGCATGTTGAATGAGCTTAGTCAAATGTCATTTGATACTATCTCTCAAGGTGCAAGGATTAATCCATCCTAGGATATTTCAACTGTTGACTCCATGATGAAAGTATTTGGGTAACTTAGGCACGGAGGCTAAGCACTTCATACTTCGTGATGCAATGATGATTATGATTGATGAGTGATGTGACAAGGCATCATTCAGCGTTGTGTTAAGATTCTATGACAAAGGGTTCTTCAGGGAAGGTGTATTTGGTCATGTATCTGTGATGTGTGTGAAAATGACACTAAGGTTAGGCCGCAAGAGCTAAGTGTGTGGGAAAATATATTGAAAAGAGTCAAATGATGGTGACTCTTAGGCTAGGTAAGCTAATGATGTAAGGATCAAGCCCCCAAGTTTATCTCTAAATGGATAGGGATAAGCATAGGAAATCCCTTGATATGATCATGGTGTTAGTGTGTGAATGTGAATATGAATGCATTTTTATTACGGCCGCACCTCAATGTAAGGTTGCCTACGTATCCATTAGGAATCAGGCCGAACGTAGCTCTAGCCGAACCTCGCACAAGTGTGTATACCTCAAAAGGGTCTTTTAAGGGTTGTAACGTGGTTAGGCTAAAGGTTATAGAAGAAGGGGATAAAGGCTCAAGTCCTTAGATAAGCCCCCAAGATGTGCAACATCGCTTTTGAATCTTTATATTTTTACTTGAGTTTCTACTCTTTTTTAGCTCTATTTTCTTTAGCATTTATTTATTTTAATAAGTGTGGGCAATCCCGATCATGCAGTCTATCACTCACTTGGCATTCATGTTTCTCAGGCACGGTACCGAGCACTCGTTAAGAAACACAATCTGAGACGTGTTCATATCA